ACTTCCCCACAAATGCCGCCGCTTGCAGTGCATTGCCATAATCGCCACCCCGAGCATTCGCGTCCGCCCCACGTTCGAGAAGAAGCTGCACAACTGATTCATGCTCCATCTGTACCGCAGCCTGCAGCGCATTTCCATAACGGCCACCCCCAGCATTCACCTCCGCCCCATTATCAAGCAGTAAATGTGCAACCGATTCATTCCCCACAAATGCAGCTGCTTGCAGCGCATTGCCATAAAGGCCAGCCTGAGCATTCACCTCTGCCCCGTGATCGAGAAGAAGCTGCATGACTGATTCACCGTCCCCAAGTGTAGCTGCTTGCAGTGCATTGCCATAATCACCATCTTGAGTATTCACATTGACCCCGTTCTCGAGGAGGCTGACCACAATAAATTCATTCCCGGCAAATGCAGCGTCCTGCAACGCATTGTTGTAATTATAATCCTGAGGGTTCACCTCTGCCCCGTGCTTGAGGAGAAGCCTCATAATTGATGCATTCCCGATATTTACCGCTATTTGTAATGCGTTGCCACGCTTGCCACCCTGAGCTTCCACCTTCGCCCTACATTCCAGAAGAAGTTGCACAACCGACTCGTTCCCCGCTGCTGCAGCTGCTTGGAGAGCACTACCATAATCGCCACCCTGAACATTCACCTCTGCCCCACGCTTGAGGAGAAGGCGAACAACCGATTCGTTTCCCGCCTGAGCAGCTGCTTGCAGTGCATTGCCATAATGGCCACCCTGAGCGTTCACATCTGCCCTACACGTGAGGAGAAGGCGGACAACCGATTCATTCCCCGCCTGAGCAGCTGCTTGTAGTGCATTGCCATATCGACCACCCTGAGCATGCAACTCTGCCCTCCAGTCAAAGAGAATCTGTACAACCGATTCGTTCCCTCTCGCTGCCGCTGCTTGTAGTGCATTGCCATAATCGCCACCCTGAGCATTCACCTCTGCCCCATGCTCGAGGAGAAGGCGAACAACTGATTCGCTCCCCGCCTGAGCAGCTGCTTGTAGTGCATTGCCATATTGGCCACCCTGGGCATTCACGTCTACTGCACCCTCGTTTCTATCGACTAGCAGTTTACACGAGGTCACCAAATTCAACAAGGAGGAATAGTAGATTGCCGATGCATAAACCCGGGTGCTAGATAGCGCATTCTGGGAAGGATTATCGGGGTCATATATATCTAACCAGCACTGGCCAAGCTCGAGGACCTTCAACGCAGCGTTGCAGAGTGGGGTGGGTGCCGTATCCTCGATAGCTCTAAGATACACGAACCAATAGCGAGCACAGTGATAGAGAAACGATGTTTCTTGGACTTGGTCCCCGCGTTCAGGTCCTTCTGCGCTATGTCGTAGTATTCGGCTAAGACAAGCATGGCCCATCATTAAATTCGCTTTATCCTCCGAGATATGATAGTAGGAACTGGGGCCCTGAGCTACATGGTCGGAGATCAAGTATTCCTTGACCGAGAAATGTGCTAGTCGTAATCTGCGGTTCTCCTGTGATGGGGATTCGTCGTGCATGGAATCTTCAAAGGAAATGAGGCTAGGGCAAATGCTCATGAGGGACCTGATATTAAAAAGAGTTTCAGAATCCTCGCCGTACTTGACGACATCGTATTCGATCCCGATGGCCTCCGCAAGTTGGCCTAAGGTCAATGGTTCTGCTGAAAATGCGAGCCAATTCATTGCTCGTCGAAAATATCGCCTCTGTCTCTTAGGAATGGCATCGAGGATCCTTGCGTAGACGTTGCCCAAATCTCTCGGGAATGCCTTCAATGCTGCTCTCACCTCTCCTGGCGTATCACATTCTTCTAGAATTCGTAAAAGACATTCTACCCATCGGAACCTTACCAAGCCCAACACAATATTAGCGTAAGCAAAAATTCAATGATTGAGCATAACATACATTCCCTGCGAACCCGTAACTAGCGCTTCCTCTATCTCACTCTTGACTTCTTCGGCAAATTCCTTGAGCCCACCTCTCCTGCCTAGAGAGTTCTGTATATATGACCGGATATCCGATTCGATAGTTTTGGATTGCAACGAGATTGAAAAAGTGGTGAGTGGCTCCAGGAATCCCACTACATCCGCCTCGGGGCGGCTAGTGATGAGAATGGGCAGCGATCCCGCATTGTGATCAGCAGTAAGCTCTCCTATCCAGGATAGGACACTTCTTCGTGTGTCCTTGGGGAATTCGTCCAAGGCATCGAGAATGATAAACGTCTTTTTGGACTGCTTTACCATCTGCGAAATTGTAGTCCTCAGGTCCCTGATATCCGGCGACCTTCCAATTGCTTTGGAATTGTGATATAGATTCATTATCTCGTCAGGGAAACCCACTCTGGAGATGTCTGGTAATAGTTGGCCAAGGATTGATAGAAGCATATTGCGCAAATCCTGCTTCTCCGAGTCCCGGAAGGTGAAGTAGAAATAGGCTAATGCATGATCCTCGTTCATGGCGCATAGGCGTTCGACATCTTCAATGGCGGTAGCGCTAGAGAGTGGGTCAGCAATAAAACAACTATATTGTACGTCAGGAGACCCAGTTTAGTTCCCACCTTAGGACACTCTTACCGCATCCGGCTACAGGACACAAATGTTAAATACATTCCCCAAAGCACAAGGTTTCATTCGCTTGTGCACTTACGTATTCCATAAAGCGAAAAAACCCCTCCTCTACCCCCCCTCCAAGCGACGTAGTCATGTCCCTCGAGCAACCACTGCCCCGTACCAGGTTCACGAATGGAGAGTGCAGCTTTAAAATTGGCGCTAGGATCAACGACGTTAAGCCACTCCAACACTTCCCGGAATTCCCTGTCTGGAGTTTTAGGAATTCCAGATATTAGTAAAGGACATAACTGGTAGGAATAAGCATAATGTGACCAAATACCATCAAGTCTTCGCCACACCTTTGTCACCCTCTTTCTAAAAAACTAGTTAGCTTTGCTACTAAATGAAAATGGAAGTGGAAAGGCTAGGTCCTTAGGGTATTAAAGAATAGATAACCTACGTTGTGGATATGGCCAATAACAGATTAAGTTTAGCCCTCTGCTCTTCAACAAATCCCAGGTAATGCTCCATGCTGGGTCTACGAATGGACCAAAGATACCTCCTCGAGGATTTCCTCCATCCCGGAACATCTAATATAGCCTTCAGCTCCTCGAGGACCGTCTCATAACTTCGTAAACGTTCGTTTTCTATCCATTCAACTAGCCCAGGGTATTTCGGACCGCCCTCATCGCCTACGCTAACTAGGGATTGGATTTCTTCCAGCTGTTGATGGATAGATTTGATCCCGTCCCCCAGTTTCTTGAAATCGTAGCCCCCCCCCGTCTTGACCGTGTCGTAGTAGTCATTGCAAAGGTTGTAAACCTGCGAGCTAAGGTGAATGAGAGCCCAAAAATGGGCAGCCACGGAGATGGGCTCCGCCATTTCTCCCCCCGCTGATGTTTTGGGCTTATTATTGATTTCTAGGAGGGTTTCTCTAAGTTTTTTTCCTAGACGTAATTTCCTAACTTATAGTCCACTTTCCTTCTTCAGACTTAGAACTTCGCCCCTCTCAATTCGAGAACCGACCTAAACCCCCACCGTAGCGCCGAGAGAACAGAAAAAATGAGAGGTTGGGGAACTGGAGAACTGACAACCTTCTCGAAATCGATAATAAGAGGGGAAGTTTGGCCCAGAAACCGGCGTTATTGTGGCTCGCTATACCTTAGGACTGAAGGACGAACGGAAACCAGCGATCTCGAGATGGGCGGATCTTGAAGCGGATCCTCCTGGGGTGTCTTTCAATTGCGGATCCACAGCGACTACAGGGTATCTAATCAGAACAGTGCTTTTTTTTTTAAGTTCTCAGAGAGAGGGGGCTCCCAAATGCCGGTGGTTGCGCACAACACAGTACTGTACGGTACAAGAGCAGCAGCTGCGGGCCAAGTCATGATCGGCACAATTTTAAGCCGGCTGCTCCTCAAGTACTCGAGTAGCGTATCATACGCTTGAAATGCCCCGGGTTGAGCTAGGAGCAGGAGCCTTTAGGAACGGCGCCGACAGAGGAGAGCCGAATCCCCCTGCACGGC